GGCAGCCAATCCATGATTCTCAGCATTGATGTTTCTCTCTCTCTCCCTCTCCTTTCCTCTCTGAAATCAATAAAAATATATTTTAAAAATCTTTCTCAAAATACATATATACATTTAAAAAACAAAAATAAAAAATACTTGAATTCCCTGGCAGAGGAGGACCCAGCACCCGCGTGCAACCGGAATGGACACGCGCAGCGCTGAAGGGGACAGACAGCCTACCCAGGCGCTGACGCAGCGGCCGCAGGTGGTGATCTTGAAGTCCCCGTAGAGGTCCTTGATGGCGCCCGTGGTGAAGAAGCCCTCCACCATCAGCAGGATGCCGTACACGAAGAAGGCCGCCGCGATGCCGTAGATTACGTACTTGAAGATGTCGATCCTGGGGGAGACAGGGACTGTGTCAACACCTCTGCATGGCTCACCTGCAGCCAGCCCCCCTCCCTCACCCCCCCAGCTCACGTCTCCTTTGGGATGAAAGCTACACGGAAGCTGGATGGAGAAGCGTTTTGGCTCCGTAGGCCCCGTGTTTGTGTACCATATACATTCTGTTCTGCCCGTCCAGGACCTGTGCGCAGGGCTGGTCATGTCTAAGTTTCTTCCTCTTCCCTCCCCCTGCCCTTCCCCGGCTCACACCAGGCTGATCTGGGAGAAGCAGTGGGTCCCATTTCCAAAGGAGTTTGCTTAACTCTGGTTGATAAGCATATGAGGTCTCCAATTATGACAAAATGTCAAATTGAAAGACTTATGTATCTATCACTGAGTTTTAAAAACTTACATTAAAAGAGGAAGGAAGCTTTATGGCTAATGACACATTCCTTTTTGAGAAAGTTACCACCTCGTATGTTTGTTATTGTTAAAAGTCAGTTGTGGTTGTATTTTGTCACCCTTACTGTACACCATCCCTAGCATTGTCTGCTGCTGATAATATCACTAATAAAAGTATAGCTTCAGAGAGAAGTTGTGATTTTGATGAGGAAGCCTTTTAGGCAGAATCACTAACAGATATTACATGGGATTAGGCAGGAGCCAAGTTGGAACATAATTCCACGGAGGAATGTGTAGGTGTTCCTTCTTTTCTCACAACCGAGTGCCCATGTACTTCAGAGAGAGACGCATGTATTGCCTGTAAATTGCAGATGGATTTCTCTGTTATTCAGAATATTGTCTGGGAACCCCAAGCCCTTTCGAAGGAAAAATCACAAAGTAGTCATTTTGCTGCCTCTGAAAGCAAACTAGCTGTGTGGCCCGGTATGTGGAGAGGCACGCCTATTCGCGAGCGCTCTCCTTCTGCAGCCGGGAGAGCCCCGTAAGGGAGGGGCTCTTTATTTCACACTGTCCTGCGTCATTTGTGCTCTCTCCGCATTAGTTACACTGAGTGGAGCAGGTAGGTGGCAGCAATGATGAGAAAGCCTGAGAGATGAGGGAATAGAAGTCTAGTTCGTGCTCATGGAGATTTGCGAACTCTGGATGCTATGGCAATATTTTTAAAAATCTATTGTTGAAAGTATTACAGATGTCCTCCACTGACCCTTCCATCTGTCCCCTCCTCCTCCTCAGCCTTCGCAATATTTTTGAAAGAACAGCATAAGTGAATTTGTGGCATATAAAAGAGCAAGAAGAGCCGGCTAACATCCAATGTACCGGAGAGATTGTTTAGTGACTGCTTTCCACTGTCTGAAAAATCTAAATATCGTCACAATTGTCTTTGTCAAGGCCAAGGGCAATGAGGCAGATGATGTGAATTGCGTCAGCCCCTCACGCATGTCAGAGAATCTGAGGATTTCAACTTACAGACCTAATGGGACATCACAAACACTCCGGAGAGCTTGGCGGGATGGGCTTTCCCATAGAACGTCCAGGTTAACATGACATTTAATAATAGATTTTTGTTTTTATTTGGAAATAATTTAAAATCTATTTAAAAAGTTGCAGAAAATGAATATCATGAAGAACAATTTTACATCCTTTATTTTATAACATTTTATCTTACTTCATTGTTTTCTCTCTCTCTCTTCCTCTCTCTCTCTCTCTCTCTCTCTCTCTCTCTCTCTCTGAAAAATTATATCTGAACATAGAGAAATGCCCCACAGTACAGTTAATTATTTCAGGAAATATATTATTGATATAACCACACACACACAACCTAACACATACACACAACCTCAAGACACACAACTTCAATACATACAACCTCATACAACCACACACAAAACCTCACACAACCACATACACAATCACATATGCAACCCCACACATACTACCCCACACCCACAACCTCACACACAATCTTTTACTGATTGTTTTTATTCCAACCTATAAGTCATGTTGGTAAAGCTGTAATACTTTCTAATACTTTCTTGAGAAACAGGAATAAATGATTATATATATATATATATATATATATATATATATATATATATATCATAACCCTAAGCCCAGAATATTACTCAATGAGGTGTCCCCAGTAAAGTCAGGAACAAGGAAGTGAAGGACAGTCTCTGCTTCCATGTAAAGCTGTTCTGGGTGTATTTGCCAATTCAGTTGGATCCGGGAAAGTAATCCCCGACATGAGAATTGGAAGAGAAGAACAAAACTACCTCTATTTACAAATGATATATGGTGCACCTGGAAAGCTTTAGAGAAGCAATGATAAAACTAATTCAAATAATAAAAGAATCCAGCAGTGTAGTATGATATAAAATTTGCATGCAAGAATCAATAGCATTTGTTTAGACAAATAATACCCAGTTGGAAGATGTGCTGGTAGAGGAAAACGGGAATTTCTCTGGAAGTGGGATTGCTGGGTCACATGACAGCTCTATGTGGTATACTTTGAGGAACCTCCATGCTGCTTTCCACACCAGCTGCGACAGTGCACATTCCCGGCAACAGAGCACAAGCGTTCCAAGTCCTCCACGTAGTTGCCAACACTTGTTATTTTTTTGGGTGGGGTGTTGTTTTCTGATTTTTATAGAATGACTATCCCAGGGGTCCTCAAACTTTCTAAACAGGGGGCCAGTTCACTGTCCCTCAGACCGTTGGAGGGCCGGACTAAGGTTTAAAAAAAAACTATGAACAAGTTCCTATGCACACTGCACATATCTTATTTTGAAGTAAAAAAACAAAACGGGAACAAATACAATATTTGTATTTACATGTGGCCCGCGGGCCGTAGTTTGAGGACCCCTGGACTATCCTAACTGCTGTGAGGTGGTATCTCACTGTGGTATTGATTTACATTTCCTTGATGATGAATGATGTTGAGCAGCTTTTCATGTACCTGATTGCCACTTGTCTGTCTTCTTTGGAGAAACGTCTCCTTAAGACCTTTGCCCATTTGTAAGTCGGGGAATTTGTTTGTTTTGCTATTGAGTGACAGGAGTTCCTTATATGTCTTGAATATTAACCTCTTATTGGATATGTGGTTTGCAAATATTTTCTCCCACTCTGCAGGTTGCCTTTCACTCTGCTGTGGTCTTTGCTGCACAGAAACTTCCAAGTTTGATGTAGTCCCACTTGTCTATTCTTGCTTTTGCCACATACCCAAGAAATCATCACAAATACCGATATTATGAAGTTCTTCCCCTCTGTTTTCTTCTAGGAATTTTACAGTTCCAGGTCTTACATTTCATTCTATAAACCACTCTGAGTTGATTTTTATGAATGACGTAAGATGAGGGGCCAATTTCATTCTTTAGCAAG